ACCCTCACCCGCCATGATTTAAAACACTGTGTAAACATACTGTAAACATTGTGTCAACTTATTTCGCAAGTATGGAGAACAGCGATAGATGGACGGACGTGGAAGTGCAGGCACTTGTAGCAAATGTAGCACTGCCAGTTGTCGTTGGAGATTCTTAGTCCTCCTTTCTATTCTTTCAACCATTTTTATGTATACGTCGACTTTCCATGTCCATTATTGTGAAACCCGCGAGACACAACAAAAACACAGCTCCGATCACAGCGTCCTCCATCCTCCTGTTGTTAATGTTATTCTACATTTCTGTTGTTGAATGCCGCGCACAAATGAAGACCGGCTTACGTCACACACTCGGTGTGAATGCAACCCTTTAAATGGTACTGGGAAATAGTTCGCGCAAAATCGTCCCAGTACTTTAGTACTGTACATTTAGTTCTGGAACTAAAGCGGTGCGAAAGGCCCTTATGTGTTAATAGTTAATAAGTTTAATAAGTTCGAAGGATTGTGTAGATATATGTGTGCATGCAACTAATCGTAAGTACATTTACCTAATTTATTGTATGATAATTTACATTGTTAATTATATTTGCACATTATCCTGAGGACAAAATTTTATAATTCTCCTCTGTAATTAGTTTGATAGAGTATTTAATGTTATATTGCATATTAGGCTATAATGCGAAGACTTGAAACGCATCTCAGGGAACATGTTCGGGTTTGTTCACCTGACGAGCTAGACACACAGTGCAAATTTAAATTTACAGAAATACACACATCTTTGCACAATAAATCACCCTGAAGTACATTCCTGGTGTGAGACCTAATGTTCTGACCGGACATCCTGTAGCCGTTCAATGAATCCGAACCAGAGTTTGACAAGAGTAGTCAGCAGTTTTTCAGTAAATGTGACAAAAAATTTGCATGTCTTTTTACACGGGCTCCTGTAGATGAGGATGCTGCATTAATTCGCGGGGAGTTACATTTACATCAGGAGAGGATTTAATTTAATTAAATTATTTATTTGTTATATTTATATTTATTTGAATGGTACCACTGATAACATCTTGTTGCGACCGCTAAGTAACCTAATAATTAGAATTTCCTTTAGGATTTCCAGTGTGGTTGGATGCATTTATTACACACATATTCTCACCATTGCACCTTCTGAAAATGAAGCTGATTACTGTATTGCAGGGTTCCTCAAATCTTACCCTGGAGGTCCAATGCGCTGCAGAGTTTAGCTCCAACCCTGATCAAACTCACTTACCTGTGATTTTCTAATGATCCTGAAGACATTGATTAGCATGCTCAGGTGTGATTGATTAGGGTTAGAGCTAAACTCTGCAGGAAAGTGGATCTCGTGGGCCAGATTTGAGGATCCCTGCTGTATTGTATGGAAGGATGCCAGATGGAAGGGTAGTGCAAGATATCTATGCCGTAATCACCATGACAGCTGTTAAATAAACACAAATTATTCACAATTTATTTGGTCATCTTTATGTTCTACAAATACTAAAGCAACAAATTATTATTTTCCCTGTTGGATTTTAATATTGGTATTGTGGCAATCTCTTATTCATCTGTCAGGGGTGCTATTGCAGCTTCTCCTCCACTTTACGAGTCTCTGCCTTCTTACTGTTGGCTTCTGAATAGAAAGCCAAAGTTGGCTTCTGAATAGACAAATGTTTTTCATTACCGTAATTAAGAAATGTAGCATGTTGGATTAGAGAACATTTATTAAAAGCATTTATATAAAAGCATTAGACTGTGGCAAAAGCTGCTGCACATTGAAATAGATATACATTGAATGATATTTATTGAATTTCAAATATTTGTAAAATCATGTAACATTAGCCTACACCCATTTCACGCTTGAAGCTTTATCTTATTGAATTATGTTTTTATGTTTACTTTTTTTCTGCTGCCACATTTTTTTCCTTTTTTTTTTTTTGGCCCGTGGGATACCATGAAAATGAATATTAGTTCAATAAATTACCTTTCTGCCAGTTTTCACCTCTGATAACATTGATTTAGAATTAAAATTACATATTCCGTACTATGCAGAAGTCTTTTTGGCGGGAGCTGTTGCCATGGTGAATCGTAATTTCGGAGCTTCATTGATCATGGCTTTTCATAGTCGTGGTGCACGCGCTAAACTCAGAGATACACTCAACATACTCCGAGTGGATTTAACTAACTCTGCTCAGATGTTCCGAAACCGAAAACTCAGTTTCCAATCTCAGGGTAAGTCAACTCATAGTTCATGTTTTAAGTTTGTTGAACCTCCTTTCTGGAATACACCCCAGGTGATCACCTTAATTAGGTGCACTCTAATATCTTAGGTGCACTGAATCAGAGTGAAGTCATTGTGCCACAAAGGCACTGAGATCATAATAAACAAAACAATCTACAACAGTGTTTATAGAAAAAAAATATTATATTAATAAACACTGGAGAAACATACAAAACACTAAAGAAAAGGTTTAAATAATGTCAAAATCTTCATTCAACCCAAATGGTGACAAAGTATTCAAAGTATAAATCCAAAAACATTCATGTTGCAACAATCTCCTCTCAAAGTAGCCACCGCTCGCCGGGTTTTGTACCTTCACTATACCAATGTATTGTAAAGCACTAACATTGTGACCAGCTTGCCTAATGTAACGCTGTAGCGATCTGGACGTTTTTCCGACATAAGCAAGGCCACACGGACAACGAATAAGAAAAAATCACATGCGTAGAGGAACAAGTAATCATACCACATATCAGAATATTGCGGTCATCCACATTCTGGTTGCACCTGAGCCTTTGGGTTTTTTGGGATGTGCACACTTTTTTGTATTTTTGACTCATACGGTCATGTCACAATCGCGTTGAATTGTGGTTTATGGAGCTGCCTGATATTTATCACTCTTGGAACAAAAAATAAAATAAAATAATAACACTGGGGATTCGTGTGTGTATGAGAACAGGCCTCACTATCGCCACCAACTGTCACATGCCTGTATACACTAGGTCTAGGTGGTGTACATTTACTTAAAATATATACTGAATACAAACACATCACAAAAATAAAATTACAAAAGAGGGGTATTCAAATCTAATAATAATCAGAAATGTTTCTTGAGCAGCAAATCAGCATATTAGACAGATTTCTGAAGGATCATGTGACACTGAAGACTGTAGTAATGATGCTGAAAAGTCAGCTTTGATCACAGAAAAAAATGACAATTGTCACAAAAGAACATTTAAATTGTATTTTACAATATGACAATAAATAATGTTTTTATTGTATTTTTGATCAGATGATCTTGGATGAGCATAAGAAACTTCTTTCATAAACATTAAATATTTTACTGGCCACAAACTTTTGAACAGTATAAGTTTAACGTGTGACGTTCATTTTTAACATACACCATGCCACCCTTATGACACATTTTCCTATAACACATAGCCATGTTCTAAAATAGATTTATGCTTGAAAGATTTCACCAGCCTCCTTACTATTGCTAACAAGGCCATGTTTTCCACGAGTGGATGATATTCTGTATAAGGGAACAGAGACTATAGAGTCTAAAAATAGGTTTCACTGCTGCATACTGGGTTACTGTATGAAGAACCTGAAACAGAAGGTGAGAGGATGGAGTAAAGACTGTAACTAGCTTTTACACTTTAAGAACATGTTCAAGGGCTAATGCAAGAGAAGAAGGGGAAAAACAACAATAACATCCAAACTGAAAAATTTAGACAGCCAGTTGGGTTTGGTTTCGTTGAATGTGTGCTGAAAAATAGAAAATACTGTCTGAAACTGAAACTCCAAAATTGTTTAATTAGTTAAAATTTATTTGAAAATTTAGATTTTTAATTAGTTAAAAATAGAAGTTTTAACAGTTAAACTCTGTGGACCCGGATACGGGTCCAAAATCGCAAAATGTTTATGCTTCATTTACATAGCCTTCCTTATATGGTATCAGCCCATATATGGGTTCATTTGAAAGCTTGAGTGTCTTCTTTACAAAACAATACCATTCCTTTTGGTTTTTATATTCATAAAGCAGTAAAATTAAGCTTAGAAATGTATTCGTCCCACACACGAATTTCCACCTAACCATTGCGAATAATTTTTACGAAGAATGTGCATTTGATATATTTTTCACAAAAAAGTCAAGTCATATGTCACAAGAAAGCTCTCATTCTCAGGAATTTGACGATGTAGATTATTTCATTGTGTGACAGTCACAGATCGCATTATCTTCGATATATATTTTTCACAAAAAAGTCAAGTCATATGTCACAAGAAAGCTCTCATTCTCAGGAATTTGACGATGTAGATTATTTCATTGTGTGACAATCACAGATCGCATTATCTTCGATAGAATCGCGATGTAAAATTTGGTCACCTCTGAGCGAATTTACATTTATTCTGGTAGCACTGCTTCAGTCAGCCGCAAACAGCCACAAATATCTATATACTCTATATTATCGTTTAGATTAGGATCTCTTCTTTCAAACAAGACCATTTCCACGTTTCTGCGTGCTTGCATCTGTGAGATATACAGCGTTTTGTCCAGGTTCAGAAAAAGACGCTCGTCTGGAAACAGGCGCTCTTCATATCAGAAGCGCGTACAGCCAGAGTGTCTGATGTTCTATAGATCTGTGGTCGCTTGTGGACTGCAATTGGTCAGATTACAGTCTGTCAGCTCGGCGGCCATTTCAAAGCCGTGAAATTTGACACCTCTGCATCACTCGAGGGGGAGAGGGGGGTCTTGCATCCGGGACTGTGCCTGTGGGGGCTTTATGGGCTCTGTAGTTTTTTTGAATGTTTGAAGGCGAGATTCACTCACGGAATGGATACTGTACACGCATCTCGGATTATATCAATCTATGATAATCACATTACAAGTTATATGTGGTGAAGAACATTCCGCGGCACCGTGGAGACGAATGACCGCGCCTCTGGTAAGGCTATATGAGCTGTGTTTGCATATTTTATATTAGAATAGTTGTTTGGAAACTTGATAGCACAGCTAGCATTATGATACAATGTTTATTGACAGAAACGTACAGTATATTATGGATTTCAGTGAATATACAGTAAATATACATGTATTGTTGCAGTGGTGTGTGGATGAACTGAAATGTGTTTGTTTGACGCTCTGAATGTTACAGCTAGCTGCCAGATAGCAAATTAGCTCCTCTCTGGTTCGGATGATACAGTGTTGTCATGGAGAGATGCACAGGATACAGGAGTGAGCTGATGAGGTGAGAGATGCTGTGAAGCAGTATCCCAATACAGAATGCACATAAATGGAATGATATAAAGCTGGAGGATATGGATTCTATTTTAGGTTGTGATAGACCAGATATATATTATAATGTAGACAGTCTTGTGCATCCTGAAATAATTCAACTGATTGAAGAATAACACAATATGTGAAATTTGGTCCAATTCGCTTGTGCCATTTTGTATATTACTACTTAGAAAAACATAAAAATGAAACATAATTCAATTAATAATCAATTTAAGTGCTTATGGCACAAAGTAATATAGGATTGTGGGGTTAATGTGTTTTATAAAGCCTGTTTTTGTAAGGGAAACTCACCATGACACATTTCGATGCAAAAATAGACATTTTCAATCGTTTCACAAATAAGGTTCTAACTCCTGTTTAGAAGCTGTTATTTGAAAGATTCTTTTTTTCTGGTACTTTTTGGCATCTAGTGGCATCAAACAAAGTAAATTGCAGAGAGTTGGGCCTAATAGAACCTGAATTACAGATTTTCAAAAAAAATAATTAGTTTTAAATCTCCAAAATCGCCTATGTTTTTTGTGTTTATAGTAATATTTGAAAAGTATATAATGTTATTTATAAAGAATTACACTCATATTTTGTAGTTCAAAGGGTTTTCTTTACAATGAAACCATTTATTTTCATTTCCTCCATTGTATGTGTGCAGGGTAAACATTTGAATTTGAGTATGTTAAATTTAAGCGAAAATACCAAAAAAACGCCCTGAGCTTAAGTGTTAAAGTGTTTATATAACAACATAAATGTGACCCTGCCTGTGAAAACCCAGCTAAAGTCATTTGATTATGATTTACTATTTTCTACATAATATCATCCTTCATAACGATGTAGAACATTCTGTGAAAATATAACCTTTATATCTTTAATATTGACTGAGTAAGGCCATGTCAAATATTTAAATCAAAGTTAAATGAATGGTTGAGATCAAACTTTGATGCTTGTTATCTCATAATTAGATTCTGATACTTTAGCCTGGATTTCCCAGACAGGGTCACAAATTTCCAAAAAAAAAAGGAATTTACATTAAAAGCATGTAAAATGCATTTGGCTTACACATTTACTTAAGTGTCATTTCCCTGTTCCATTTGGTGCATTCATAAACCATTACAGTAGTATAAATATGTGTATTCCACTGTAAAACAATTTGAATATCTATTTTTAAAAGCCTGTTAAAACAGTAACAACAACAAAAACATTATTTAAAAGTATGTATGTGCAAAGAAGATAAGTGCACTTATTAAATAAAAAATAATTAACATCGAATTGTTTATGTAATAAAAAAATTAAGAATTAACATTAAAAAACGTATTGTGGTACACATTTAAAAAGAGGTAACGGATAAAACATTAATCATCAATATAATACTCACAGTTTACAAAGGCTTTTAAAAGTGTAAAAAAACATGTCAAACTCTTTTGAGATGTGTAAATAATGGTCCCTTGTTATTTCAGTGTGCAGTATGCAGCATGAAGACTCAATAAAACATTATTTTAAGAATTGGACTGTAATCAGATGAAGGATGTTTTTTTTATACTGCTGTGCTACCTGCAGGCTAATTAATTAATTAGAAAGAGCTCTGAACTCAAAGTTTAATTTTAAAGTGTCCACAATGCATATACACTCAACACTGTTTAGCATTAACATAGTATTGCTCACAGGAAGTGCCCAATAATATTATGAACTATTGTATCTCTTTATATGTAGACATTTATATAAGTTCAAGGCCTCAGTATTTTTGTAAATCTCCTACCTAAAATCATTTAGGTGAGAGTACTTGATTAAAATCATGCACGATTTCTGGTGACTTAATGCTCAATCACTAAATAAGAGGTGTGGACACAATTAACCATCCGTTGTTTACTCAGCTGATTGTGTTTACTGTTTCTTAGTAATTTCATATACACTATATTGCATTCATATCACTTCATATTCAGTGTCTGAAGATATTGTTTCTTCTTTGTTATTGTTGAATTAGTATTTTCAAAGCTAATTCATTTAATTTATAATTGTAATTGAAATTATGTGCCAATGTTAATTTGGTTGTTTGTTTTGAAACATTTATTGATGATAATCACACTTATCATCAACAGACTTGCATATGAGACAGTGATCCATATGTTTGTATATATTTTAATAATTAAAAAAAAAAATCATAATTAAATCAGAATTTAAACTAATTATTGAAAATAATCGCAGTAGTCACATTTTATGTACTTAGTCTGACATCTGTTATTTCACTATGGCCTTTGAATATGCAGTGATGTCATAATAACCTGTTTGCTTCAGCTGCTGATGTTTGCTTGGTCTTCCTTCTGTCTCTCATTCCTCTGGATTTTTATTTCTACTGCTTTTCTTGATCTATTTACCTATACATTTATGGCTCTTTTTTTTGCACAGGCATTTAAAATTTAAAACTGATTCTAAAGAAAGTTTTTACGCTGTTATAATCATTATTGAGGATTCGGAGGTGTGTTCATATTCACTGCAGGTAGTTAATTATTATATTATTACTTTTTACTTATTATTATTATTTTTTTATTGAACTTTTTAAAAATAAACATCTTTGCAAAGAACTTGCAGTTGTACTCAGAGTATGAACCACACGAGGGCATCCTTCTATCAATAGATAGAATTGGCTCAATGAGTTGGAATTAGAATTGAAATGCCACACAGAAACTTAAAATAGAATGGCAGGAACAGATTTTTTATTTATTTTTATTTTTTCAATTCAAAGTAAATTCAAATAACATCAACACAGGTAATGACATTTTGGGACAGGAACTATTCCTTTTCGAAAGCGAACTCCACGCTGCGTCCTCTAGAGGGCACTAGAGCTCTGTTCGGGACTTAGGAGCATGGTCAGTACTCCTAGCTTAGTACTCCAGCTTTGAGTCGTTAGGCAGTGTACTCCGCTCCCTAGAGATCTGCTTAGACAGTACTATTAGCATGTAGGCTTTATCGTGAGCCTCACTAACGCTGTCTAGCGTTGAGTGTGGTCAGGTCTCCTCTCGTTTAGAGAGTCGTTATGCTGAGACCTCCACTTTTTAGAGCTTCTCTATTAGGGCTGAGCGTTGTTAGGCTTCCTCTCATTTAGGGGAGTCATTCTGCTGAAGCCTCCGCTCTCCAGAGCTCCGCGTAGGCAGTAATATGAGTTCGTAGGCTCTTTCTTTTTAAGCCTCACTAACTGCCTCTGGCGTTGAGTGTAGTCAGGTCTCCTCTTGTTTTAGAGAGTCGTTATGCTGAGACCTCCACTCTTAAGAGCCCCCTACCAGGGTTGAGTGTTGTTAGGCTTCCTCTCGGTTAAAAGAGTCATTCTGCTGAAGCCTCTGCTCTTCAGAGCTCTGCTTAGGCAGTACTATTAGTTTGTAGGTTCTTTGGTGAGCCGCGCTAACTGTCTCTAGCACTGAGTGTACTCAGGTCTCCTCTAGTTTTAGAGAGTCGTTGTGCTGACACCTCCGCTCTTAAGAGCTCCTAAACTAGGATTGAGTGTTGTTAGGTTTCCTCTCGTTTAAAAGTCATTTTAAGAGAGTAATACTGCTGACGCCTCCGCTCTTAAGAGCTCCTAAACTAGGATTGAGTGTTGTTAGGTTTCCTCTCGTTTAAAAGTCATTTTAAGAGAGTAATACTGCTGACGCCTCCGCTCTTAAGAGCTCCTAAACTAGGATTGAGTGTTGTTAGGTTTCCTCTCGTTTAAAAGTCATTTTAAGAGAGTAATACTGCTGACGCCTCCGCTCTTAAGAGCTCCTAAACTAGGATTGAGTGTTGTTAGGCTTCCTCTCGTTTAAAAGTCATTTTAAGAGAGTAATCCTGCTGAAGCCTCCGCTCTTCAGAGCTCCGTCTTTGGCCGTAATAAGAGTTAGTAGGTTCTTTCTTTTTGAGCCTCACTAACTGCCTATGGCGTGGTCTCCTCTCGCTTTAGAGAGTCGTTATGCTGAGAACTCCACTCTTAAGAGTCCCCTACCAGGGTTGAGCGTTGTTAGGTTTCCTCTCGTTTAAGAGAGTCGTCTTGCTGGAGCCTCCGCTCCCCAGAGTTCCGCTCAGGCAGTAATATTAGTTGTAGGCTCTTTCTTTTTGAGCCTCACTAACTGCCTCTGGCACTGAGTGTAGTCAGGTCTCCTCTCGCTTTAGAGAATCGTGATGCTGAGACCTCCACTCTTAAGAGCTCCTCAATTAGGGTTGAGTGTCATTTGGCTCCTCTCCTTTAGGAGAATCATCCTGATGAAGCCTCCGCTCTTAAGAACTCCGTCTTTGGCAGTAATATGAGTTTGTAGGCTCTTTCTTTTTTTTGAGCCTCACTAACTGCCTCTGGCACTGAGTGTAGTCAGGTCTCCTCTCGCTTTAGAGAATCGTGATGCTGAGACCTCCACTCTTAAGAGCTCCTCAATTAGGGTTGAGTGTCATTTGGCTCCTCTCCTTTAGGAGAATCATCCTGATGAAGCCTCCGCTCTTAAGAACTCCGTCTTTGGCAGTAATATGAGTTTGTAGGCTCTTTCTTTTTTTTGAGCCTCACTAACTGCCTCTGGCGTTGAGTGTAGCTAGGTCTCCTCTCACTTCAGGGAGACTTTATGCTGAGACCTCCACTCTTAAGAGTTCCCCTACCAGAATCGAGTGTCCTTAGGCTTCCTCTCGTTTAAGAGAGTCATCCTGCTGAAGCCTCCGCTCTTTAGAACTCCGTCTTTAGCAGTAATATGAGTTTGTAGGCTCTTTTCTTTTTTGAGCCCCACTAACTGCCTCTGCTGTTGAGTGTAGCTAGGTGTCCTCTCACTTTAGACAGTTGTTATGCTGAGACCTCCACTCTTAAGAGT